GTTATGCACAGTATATATGTGACTGTATGAAAATGAAAAATGGAAAATAAAAACATTTTAACAAAAAACAGCTGGGAAACTTTGACCTCTGATCTTTCAGCTTGCAGGCTAAAGACGCAGCATGACCTTCTCCAATTGTCCAGCAGGCTGAGACACTTGTCCAGCAGGCTGAGGCAAAGAGGCAGTTTTGGAACCAGCGAAATCTGGGGGCTGGGCAGGAGGCAGAATGTATCTGATCTCAGTGTGGAAGGGATTGCCACTCCCAAATTGGACTTTTTAGCCACACCAGATGCTGCATTAGGACCTCTTTCCAGAGCACAATACCATAGTCTTTTGAGACTGAAGGATGCCAATGGGGGTAAGAGTCAACACCAAAACACATTGGAATAGAAAATCATTAAAAATCCCCATAGAAACAGCCCAAGAAGAAAAACAAAACCAGAGTAATTAAAATTCCGATATAGTGGAGGGAAAAACAGGAAATACAGATAGAGGAGGAGACAGGCCAAAATAACGAGGGGGAAGCAAAACAGAAAAGTGGTAAAGACAGATTATAAACACAATATCAGTTTTGGGAAACACTTGAGAGAAATAAAAATTAAATTACAAACACAATTAAACACTAGCAAGCACTTCCTCACTGGTACCTTGCCAGTACTTGTCGAGCAGAGGAATCACAAAGAGCAAAACAGGAATGAAACCATTAACACAGGAACCGCACAAAATCCAGAATCAGATTTCAAAGGTAAAAAGTGTATAAAATTATCTAGTCACTCTGTTTAGTAGCTAGCCTAGGAACGTGTGTCCTTGCTACCGTTTGTACCTCCTTCCTGAAAAATAAAAGACCCAGCTTTCACGCAGCTGTTCCACTCAAATTATTCCGCGGCATCGGCAACGCTTCCCAGCGGGAAATTCAAACCCAGCAAAGGAAGCTTTGGGGAAATCCAACAGTATCTCAAGCCAGAAGCTGTGTATGTCATTCTTCAACAGGGGACACATATTGGGCAAACATGGCTGTGCTCTAGCTATGTAATATTGTTGCTATACTTTAAAATACTAACTCTAGGCAAGTAAACAAAGAATATATAACAAGCTATGTGCCAGTCTACATTATGGAAAATTACAACTTATGATATTGTATTTATTACCTTATTGGGTCAAACTTAGTTAACTCTTTATACTTCTGATAACTTGAAACCATCCCCTACAAAATGGATAAATACAAAAAAATTGAAAGAGGGACACATAACTAAGGCAGGAGGAGCTTGTTGAGAATGTTTTCACTTCAAAGCACGGATTCATTTATACATATTAACTCTGAAAGGATGATCCCAATTTCCCAAATGCACGATTATCCCGACTATCATTGCTGCATGGGCAATCCCTTTCTGAGCAGTTGTTAAAGGGATCTTCCCATCCGATCAGAGGGCCTTCATAACTCCAACATTCCTAAACAATCCGCCATGGTGGAGGCGAGCAAGCGCTTTCCCCCAGCCGGAAGTCCCAAGGCCCACACTCGGCGTTGCCCTGAGTTGCCTTCATCCCTCCGAGAACGGGGGGGAGGGGGAGTGGACAGCTCCCTCCAGGAGCGGCGTCAGCGAGACCCCTCTCCAGTGGTGAGAAAGAGGCGGGTTGGCAAAAGCAGCCTCCCTCAGCCCTGGCGGCTACTGCGCAGCAACGGCCAAACCACCTCCCCGCTCTTCCTCTCCAGGCTCAAAGCATAACCAAGCGCAGAGCACAAAGTCGAATACCGGGTGACAGGCAATACAATAGCAGGAAGACTAATAGCTCTCGCGATATTTGAAATCGTATTTTTTCTTCAGCGCCCCCCTCCCCCCCCATATAATCTAATTCTATAAAGGGACGTCCGCTTTAACGTCTACAGGAATACAGTAGCTGGCAGGTGTCGAGATTCTCAGTCATCCAGGTCATGGTTGTCCCAAAGGTGCTTTTTGAAGAGGCAACTGGACTTTCTGGTTTTTCTTTGAAGACGTTTCGCTTCTCATCCAAGAAGCTTCTTCAGCTCTGACTGGATGGTTGGGGATGGATGGATTTATACTCCTTGCAGACAGAAGGATTTAGAAACACTTCCATTCCCCACCATCCAGTCAGAGCTGAGGAAGCTTCTTGGATGAGAAGCGAAACGTCTTCAAAGAAAAAACAGAAACTCCAGTTGCCTCTTCAAAAAGCACCTTTGGGAGTAGTAGGGTTTCCCCCGCTGTTTTCAAGTGCAGAATGGTTTCTCATAAAGCCCCAAAGGTGCTTTTCAGGTGGCAACTGAACTTTCTTGCTTTTTCTTTGAAGACGTTTCTTTTTTATAAATCCTTCCATTCCCCACCATCCAAAGCTTCTTGGATGAGAAGCGAAACGTCTTCAAAGACAAAACAAAATCCAGCACCTTTCGGACAACCATGACTGAGAATCTCCATAGACTTTCTCATAAAGCGTTATCCGAAGTGGTACATTTCTCTCACGTCTCATGCTGACAGGATGTCGTTTCCCAAGTTGCTTAATAAGCACGTATTGCGAGAAAAAGGGGAAGGGGAGCGGCCGTTTCTAAATCACTTTGTTCGTATTCCAGAGGCTGCTATTACGTTTTTGTGGAAAGACCCCCCCCCCCAAAACCCCAGCAACAAAAAAAAATTAATCAAGAATAATATGTTTTAGTTCCAACTTCTTAAGAAGGGGGGGGGAGCCCAGATCTCGCGAGAACATGGCACTAAACCTCGTGTAAAAAAAAATCCGGCTGTGGGGGAGCGCGTGCGCCTGTATGAGAGCCGGATGTACGCGCAAGCAAGTTCTCGCGATATTTGGAGAACTAGGACCGGGTAGAGGAGTTAGGGGAGAGGAATCCCCGAGCTCTACTAAACGAGCCACGGTGTCGGCGGCTGGAAGGAGGACAACGACGGGGAGGTTTTTTTCGTATTCTCGCAAGAATTAGTGGCTAACCTTTCCTTCCTCTCCCTTCTCCCTAATCTGGAAACCGCGCCGTTTCGTTCTGGGAAGTAGGTGGAAAAAGATGGGGATCCTGGCTTGCGAAACTTACTAGGAATTCAGGCTGAAGAAGGGGGTCTTCCCTTAGGAGCGGCTCATTGGACTTAGTTACGGGCCTCCAGGATTTGGCCAATGAGCCTGGGCGGGCTGGAGGGTGTTCATAGTAAGGAAGTTCTCGGGAAGTTAAGGAGATAGCAAATAAATTCAGACCCCACTTTACTTTTGTAAGGACGTGGGCCCTTTACTTAATGACAAGGCAGCCTTGACCCAAGAGTCCACTGCTTAAGTACTTCAGGTGACTACTATTAGGGGACCCCTGTTTAAAAATCTGCAAGTGAACTAGTTTCTTTCCAAAACTTTTTGTTTTTGAAAAGTTCAGCTTCTTGCCTATTTACAAACTCGGGCTTATTTGTAGTTTTACCCCTTTAATCAACCCTTTTGGGCAATTTATATCGTAAAACTAGGAGTTAATTGACACCTGGAATTAAGGAAGAGCAGGTGTTTAGTTTAAAAAACCTTATCTTTCCTTCCTACTTGTGTGGGATCAGAGGATATTTTGACAAAAAGTTATTTTTCTCCAGTTTGAAAGGTGGGCTCAACTCAGTTTTAGATCTATTTCTGAGACAGCTTTATCTTACTATATGTTTGCATGTTATTTTAGAATCCGGCATTCATAGAGCAGCCCCCATCTATCCTCATGTAAAGAGACAAGTGGGTTGAATGTAGGACGTAGGTAACAAAAGAGAAAATAGCCCTTCCATCGTGGTGTGTGGGTGTCTTGAAGATTTGGGCTTTTTGGAGGATTCCTCCCTCTTTAAGCACAGTGGAGAAGGAATGCCAAACCCAGAGAGACATGGGGGCAACGTGGGAGGAGGGGAGTCTTTGCATCAAGGTGCAGTGTCCAGCAGTGGGAGCTCAAACAGAGAGAGGCACCGGATTTCTAAGCATAAAAGACACAGATCCAAGCATTCCAAAGATTCACTATTGGGGTCCCAAGAAGGAGGTGCAACAC